TTCTCATAAGAAAAGCTGCACTCAAAGCAGGGAAAGCTACAGTGCCTTGCAAACATATTCATACCCTGGACCCTTTTCCCCCTCTGTCACAACCTTGATGTAGCTTGTCATGATTTTCTGTAGAGACCAACACAAAATGGGACAGTCACATAGAAACTGCCTTGAGAATCCATCTACATAAGCTCGCCTCTGTTTAATTCAACTTCACAAAAAAATCAAGCTGTTCTATAAAGGTTATTTGTGAACAAATATAAAGACTTACTCCAAATTTACATTGTCAAGCTCAGGTGTGCACTTTGCAGCAAATATTCAAATATTGTAAAAAATGTTCAATGCTGTATAATTCTTATCTATTCTTCAGGGGCATAAAATCTATATTGTTGAAACACTTAACAGTACAGTATTATTTGTTTATTTCTTTTAACTCTTCACTGTTTTTTTTTAATATATACTCTTCAAAGTATATATATAAAAAAAAGAAGAGTAGCTTCATCTGGTCTGTTCCTGTTTGGCTGTGACGCCATCCTGGAGAGAAACATCAGCTGTGCTGCTTCCATCAACACCTTTGTTTATATATGCTGGAGATCGGCTTGTTTTCCAGTGTGGTCCTGTTTCTCTGACTGTGACTGGCTGGATGTGCTCTCTTCGTCCTCTGGCATGGGAGCTGGCTCGAAGCTCGTCTGCCTGGCTGTGTGTTTCCTGGACGGGGCCGCCTTTTATAGCTGCTTTTTGTATCACTGCTTCTGTCTCCTTGAACCCCAGCCTGGTTCTGCTGGAGGTTTCTTCCTGTTAAAAGGGAGTTTTTCCTCTCCACTGTCGCTACAAGCATGCTTAGTGTGGGGGATTGTATTTGAGTCAATGAGTCGATGCAATCAACTGGTTTTCCTTAGATAGAAAACTTTGTATCAATTTGATTGTATGATCTGGTTGAACTGTAAAGTGCCTTGAGATTACTTGTGTTGTGAATTTGGCGCTATATAAATAAACTGAATTGAATTGAATGGTCCACATTTGTTTGAACATTTTGTTCTATAATCTTTTTGCTGCTTTAAACACCAGAATTTCCTCATTGTGGAATAATAAATGGATTTTCCATCTATTCTATTCTATTCTATTCTATTCTATTCTATTCTATTCTATTCTATTCTATTCTATTCTATTCTAGATATTAGCAATTGCAAACAATAGCTCAATTACAGATGCTGCATATTAAAGGTCATAACTTCAACTTTGTTTTTTAAAATCATGAACTTTTTGAAAATAATACATCCACATAACTATATCTACAGAAGTGCAAATTAAAAGTATTTCATGTAGGGAGAAAAAATAAATAGCAAACAAATAACTTTTAAATACATTTTGATGGTTTCGAAATATGTAAATGTTTACTTCTGGAAGAGATTTAGTACCAATAGTAGGTTGAAGTCAAGAGAGTCACTGTAAAATATATCAAGTTGACTTAACTTTAAAAAGTAAGGTAATCTCATTACCTTAAAAAAATTCATTAGTGTAAAATTAATTCTTATGGATTATTTTCTCCTATGTTTTTTAGCTCTTTGAGGTGCATTATGAACAATATTTATTATTATCATAATTTTTTTAATACCATCATTATTACCTCCGTCTCCATAGACACGTGCAATTTTACACCTTTTATTTGTAGTCTTTGGAGATCAGGCTCCAGTGATGAGTTCCTCCTCTCAGGCAGTCTATGATATTTAATAGAGTTCATTATTATGGCCACCATCATACCCCCCCTATAAGATTAAGTTGAAAGTTGTTTTACAGTATAGCTCTTTTATAGAGCTGAGAAATGGCAAAAAAGAGGATGAACATGATTAATCTTATATTTCAAATTGTCTCAACTGCTCAACCCCTAGTATAGAAACAGTAATCTGAGGCACACTTGCAAACCTTCAAATAATTGTCCATCAACATAAACTACTTAAACTAGTAGGCTGCAAATGAAAACAGGTAGATTAGCAGCCAATAGGTCCATATTAAAACCGGAGGAGCTGCAGAGATCCACAGCTCAGGTGGAAAAATCTGTTCACTCTATGGCTTTGGTGCTAACTTAAATCTTTCATGCAAGAGAGGAAAGGAAAGGCAATTTTTTTCAAGCAATCCATCAGAAATCGTATTCAAATGAAGCTGCACGTCGTGTAGTTTACTCAGTAAACAGATGGAATACGCTTGTGGCAGAAATACACAGAGGAGGCTTTTCTTTGGTACGAGAAATCTGATCAGATTTTCTCTAAGCAATGATGGAGGGAAATTGAAGACTTGAAACAAATCATTAAGCCATAATGGAATGATTTAGATCACATTCATGATGAGAACTGGCTGTTTAGCTGCATGTCATCATGGTTCATCTTCTTTGTAGTGGACTTGTTTTGATTCCTTCCATATACACCAAGTGTGTCGTAGTTCCCCCTGTTTGGCCTCTGTCTTTTTAGAAGTCCATGCTGGCTGAAAAGCATGCCGCTGTGTGTTTGCCAATGCTGACTTTTCTTTGTTACAACGGAGAGCTTTACCACAAACTCTCGACACCCTGTTGATTGTTTTTCCCCCCCGACCTTATTCTCTTTTTTCATTTCCAACCACAAGCCTGCGGAGGACTGTCACATACATTCTTGTGCTTGAGGAAGGCTGCTGTGAGTAAAAAAAAAAAAAGAAAAAAAGAAGAAGAAAAAAGCAAAGATACGACAGGCGGCTGGTAGTGGCATGAGAAAGGTTTTGAAATCCCCCCACAGACGCTGCCACCGCTTCTCGAGAGCAGGTGAAACCAGAGCTCTCTGTGAAAATGCCATGAGAGCATTTCAGGTTCATTTGAAAAGCCTCTGAAGACAAAGGAAAAGAGGGGAGGAGAAAAAAAACGTACATAAAGACAAAGTAGGAAGTGCTAAAATCAAAGGAATGGATATAGGATAAAAAGTGGGATAGATGCAACAGATAGGTGAGAAAAATATACCCTTTCCCTATGTTCTTTCCATTCTCTTTAAAGTATCTGCCTAATCCCAGAGAGAGAGAGAAGGCAGCACTTCCCTGTGGAAGGACTTAAAAAAGGACTTTTCCATGGCTTGCAACAATTCGCATTGTTCAGCAAAGAAAGCTGAATCTGGCTGCAGAGAAGAGCTTAGATAAAGAGCGTGAATACAGCTGAGTGCAGGATTAGACTGATGTATTGTCTTATTGAGGGTCGATGCCAGCCTCTTTATCAAAGGCCTGAAACCATCCACCTCTGATATAATGGAGAAAGTCTCCTGGTTTGTTGTAATGGAACACCGCCGCGTGATTATTGGTGTTGAGTCAGATGTCTGCCTCAGCCCTGTAGCTAGATGAAGGATTCTACTAATTTAATAAGTCAGCCTCATAACTCGCAGTAAGCAGCAGTAGTTGGTCTTTCAGCACAACCTTTGAATATAATAGCAGGCATGAGGGAATCAATGCATTTTCTTTTTTTCTGATTTTAGTTCTAGTTTTGTGACGTTTGACTCTTAAATCACCTTTGGCAGCTTGTCCAGAGAGTGCTAACCTTTGAGGAAAATCAATGCTGAAATCCAACAGTGACAAAGCTTTTATGAGGCATGTAGAAATACAGCGTGATAAAAAGTCTTGAGCTATCGTCAATATAAAAAAAAAAATGGTGTACAAGTGGCCAATTGTTTCTTCGTTTTTATAATTTTCTATTCCTGTTGCCTAAGTTACTTGGCTGACCAAATGATGAGGTAATATTCTAAAGAATAGCAGTACAAACAATGAAGAAAAGATTATATGAGGTGAACCTTTAGTTTCTAGCAGTCAGTCAAAAATAACACTATTTTCTTTTTTATTTTTAGATGTAAAAAGATCTACAAATTCATAAAAACAACCTCAGAAGAATCAGAAGTACTTTATTACCCAAAGGATGATTATTTAATGAAGTCTTTAAAGGAATTAGATGCTTGAACAGAGGATGTGTCTCATCACCTCAGTGTTTTAGGAGAAAGGGAATCTGACGAGTACATTTTTGGTCTTTAGGTCTTTAGAAAAATACTGTTGCACTAGTACTATTATGATGCTACAAGTTTTTTCACATGCTGATATATTTCTAGCATTCATTCCTGTGAAAACTGGGTGATAAACAGATATAGACCCTAAAAACATCCATTAACTTTTTTTTTTTTTTTACTGAAATGTTGCTTTTTGTCTATATTATGACCAGCACAATTATAAAACAATTGATATAACAAGTAAACCCCCAAATGTCACTCCTAAATACGCTGGCTAAAAATGAGCTTTTCAGTAACTGAAAAGTTGAATGGAAGAAAAATTTGTGTTTTTTATGTTCAGATTAAAAAGCAAATGTTCTTGTTTGAAAAGAAGACTTTTGAATATGAGCATAAATTTAGTTTTGTGTCGCTATAGAAAACAGAAGAACCATCCAATAACGTGCTTGAACACTCTTTTAAATGGAAGTTCATGAATAGCTTTAACATAAAGGTCTGTACTCTTTAATTAAAATTAGAGTTAGACTTGTTCACCTCCTCAATGACCTGTGATGCGCGGCAGAATGCCCTCAAAGATCTGCAGAGGGGTCAAAAAATAGCGGCTTTTGGCTGAGGTTAAGGAGGAGGATAAAGGATTAAGGGCCAAATGTCACCTGAGGCATCAGTGAGGGTGGCAGGTGCCATTGCTCAGCCACCAAGATATGAACTTGGGTTAAAGGAGTGAAATATCCATTACTTGTAATCCTCAGCTATGACCCGTCTACATCCAGGAGGGTGTCCTGTGGAGTTCACTTTCCAAAAGGACCAAAGGAGGTATCTGCATACATTTAATAGGATGGTCTCATAGTAAAGTCAGCATAAATCCAGTTTAAAAGTTTTCCCCTAAATTATTGATCAGGGGTTCCATTGACAGAATGAATGACTTAAAGGTCTGAGGGGACATAATGTCTTCATTGACAAAATTAGTTTGCCATTAAAGGCCCTTTCAGCTGCATATCACGTCATGGTCAGGAGGGTTTTGGGCTCTTACCTTGGTACCTAACAGTCTTTCGTGGGACTGGGTTCCAGTTGAGACCCACTGACTTCTCCCATCCCACCAATAACACCAGCAGGAAGACCCTTGTCCAACCCATGGCTGCCACCTCTGCTCCCGTTGTTGGATCTGTCACTCGATGATGGAGAAAGGAGCCAACCAATCGATCAGAGGTACTCAGGAGAATCAGGCCAGGTCTGGCAGGCTGCTGAGAGACAGAGAGAGAAATCCACAACACATCAGCTTGGAGCTACTATTTACTTTCTTTATTGCTTTGGTTGTATATCAGAAACACCCCTGTGAAAGCAGCATTTCCACCACGCATAGAGAGCAAACACAACAGCACAAAAATTCAAGCTGATATGTAGAAAGATAAATTCCACATTTTATAAACAAGTCCTATAAAAGATCTACTATAATATAAACGAGTAAAGCATGAAATACAGTCGTAATGTTCTTCTTCTATGTTTGTGTGCGTGTGCCAAGAAAAACAAACTATAACATTCAAGCAACTTTTGGCTGGGGAAAGCACGCAGGAAAGTCTCCCTGCCCCTCCCTCACTTTGGGCAATAATCTAGCTATCGGCACGCTGAGGGTTCAAAAACAGCTTATCGCCACATTCTTGTCAAGCCAATTCAGCAGCAGTATATTAAGCTGGAGCTGAGTTATCAAAGTTAATTGGCACTGGCAACGCATCAAACGCCAACGTGTTGGGAGATGAATGTCGAAGCAAGGACAATCCAATAGAACAGAGTTGTAAATGGTCTGGTTTATATCTAATGAACATGTCAAGTGTGCGGCTAAAAAGCGGCGTTACACCCTAATGACGGCTCAGGGTGAGTGGCTTGTTACTGCGCTGTGTGGGAGACAGACGGTGGAGGGTAAGAAAAGACATGGAGAGAGTTGCACACTAATAACACAGCTATGAAAGCAAACAGAAATCAGCCGTAACATTCACAATTTTCTCAGTAATAAAGTCCAGATAAATATAAAATCCAGTATTATGAGCTAAAGAGAAGGCATTTTTAGTTCTATAGAGCTAGTTAGGTAAATGGTAGGACTAAATAAAATTGGAGACTGTGCCTGACCAGAATAAGTTTAGATAAAAAGAACAAACCTGCATATCCTGCAGGTTTGCAGCTAGGCAGATCTTTTAGTTATAAAACTCCTCTCCTGTGGAGCCAACTACCACTTTTAGTCTGTGATGCAGTCTTCGTTTCAGACTAGGCTTAAATATTTACCTGTAGAAAATCTTATAGAGAGTAGCTTAAGTTATTCAGTTATCTGTATAGTTATGCTACTTTAGGCTTAGTCTGGTGGAGGACAAACGGATCAATTTTCCTTATTCTAGTTTATTCTGTCTCTTTTCTCCGATTCTGCAATATTTCTTAATTTAACCCCTAACTTTATGCTCTCTCATAATAGTAGCTTCATCTGGCCCTGTTTGGCTGTATAACATACTACAGGGTAATATCTACTGGGCTGCTTTGATTATACATGATAGAATTAGGCCTGTTTTTAGTGCTTAGTCCTGACCTATGGAATTCGTTTGCCGTTGCATTTTCTAACATGTACCCCTGTCCCACCTGCCAAAAAAAACCCCAAAACAGTTTAAACAAGTGACAGGAACAGCTGACTGACCCACACTGACCTTGGTCAAACAACTTGGCTAGCAACTAGGGTTAAAATCACTTTCAAAATGGCTCGGGAACCGTTTTGAAGGTGATTTGAAGGGGGAACGTCAGATCCTGGTTAAACTGCTAATTGAAGTGATACTATTGAGCGCAATGAATGTACGGCAACATACTGTGCCAGTCGCGTCTGATCTAACAAGCCCAAACAACTCTGCTTGCATTACATAAACATGGCGCAGCACTAGCAAGAGGGATTCAGTCGGACAAAAGAGCCAAACAATAAAGCACACTGACAGCAGCCTCTGGTTAGGGCATAGGGCTTGGAATCCAGAGGTTCTGAGTTTGATTCTCGGTCCAACAGCCTGCCACTCTGGGTCTCTGAGCAAAACCCTTAACCCCACACTGCTCTCCGTGCACTTCATGATGGCAGCCAACTGCTAACCAAGGGGATTGGTTAAATGCAGAGGTAAATTTCTCCAATGATCAATAAAGTACAATTATTAAAACTAATTTACGCCCTGCTCCCTTCCATGTTGCTCTCAATTGTTTACGTTCCTGATTTATGTTTCAGTGCTAACCCAGCCTGATGGCGTCACCCGACATGTAAGCTGTCGGGGGACAGGAGGTGGACTGGAGGTTTCTTCCTGTTAAAAGGAGTTTTTCCTTTCCATTGTCTCTGCACACATGGTTGGTTTAAAGGTTTGCTATAGAGTCAATGACAAATCTAAGCAAATATCTGCTTTTGCCACATGCTCATTCAGGAGGATCATATCCTCTCAAGTCAGTGGATCAATATTGGATCTGTCTGAACTTTGAGAAAAGCACAACAGATTTTCTTTCCTGTGGATGAAACTTGCAAGAATCTTGTAAAGTACATAAGAACTTTCTAAAGCGGTGCCATATAATTGCATCACTTTGTTTGAAGTCCATTGAGGTCCTAAAAACAGGAATACGCCATCCAATGCATCCATTTAGGACTACTAAGTGTAAAGCAGAAAACTGTTGTTGGAGAAGCCTGTATTTACCCTGACAGTCACTTTTAAATGTCACTTTTAAGTGCTGAAGCACCGCACGAAAAAAGCCAGTCCACTCCGCTTTCACCTAAACTGCTGCAGAAACTCAGAGGCGAACATGTTGAAATTTCCACGTACTGTATACAGATCGGATCAATTTGTACAAAAAGCTGTTTTTTGTTTTTTTTTTCACTGCAGTAGCAGGAGCCAGCTCTGAAAAGTAGAAAAACAACCTTTAATTTGAGTGCATTTGCTCAGTAGGGGAGAAAATCCAATGTTATGAAATTGTTTTAAACATTGTATCCCTATCGGAACACTGAGAATATACATGGAGAAATAAGTTTTCCTCCACTAATATAGAGCACCTGCCACTTTAACCAGATGCAAAATAAAGATACACAAAATTAGTACTGAAAGCAAAAATACTAACCAGCTTTCTCTTCAATTCCCACATGGAAACATAAAATTTTTGTGCTGGCAAACAAACATTTACTGTGTTCAGTGGATTGGCAGGAAAGGTAGCTCCGATTCAGAAATGTGTTTGGTGAAAAGTGGGAGGGAGGGGGTGAGCATTTGAGCTGGTTTGTGTCTAATCCCAACCAGTAAGGCTGGTATTGATTAAATTTTGAGGTGAAAAGAAATAAAATAGAGGCTGGAAAACAAGCCCCCCGCCCTTCCCTCTTCATCTCCACATCAGATCGAGGTGACGTGCCGTTAAACGAGCATGCTTAAACCACTGGATTTGGGTGAAAGCTCTGCAAGCGTTGCAATGCTAGCAACCAGCTTTATTGGATCGATGCTGATGGCCTTGCCGGGCAAACGCCTGAGTGAGCGGGGAACAGATTGAGAAGAAGGAGCAAAGACACGAGGAGCTGAAAGGATGCAAATGTTGAAAGAGGGAGAGGCAAGGCAAAGCTAAGAGGGGGAAAGAAACCATCTCTCTCATCATCTAATGCTTCATTTTACTGCAGAAACTTAATAAGTCATAGAAGGATTCCGGAAGAAGCAGGTTATGTGAACCGCAGCATGCAAACACTATTAGGAAAATTGTGAATTTTGCTTTTCTGCAAAAAACTTTTTATATAGGTCTCACTGCATTATTTCTATGCACTCTCAGAAAACATGTGCTGTTTCAGATTTAGTTCAATTGTGTTTTCTGGACTTAAAAATGAATAAGTTTCCCTCTGATGTTTGTCCTGCATCCTTCAGTCTGCATGATGTTTACTCAGTAATACTCTATAAAACCTCTGGGGCCTTCATACAACAGCTGTATTTATACTGAGAAGTTTACACACAGGGGAACTGAGTTGACTGAATTCAAGCGATATTTTTTTCTCATTTTTATGAAAACAAAAATAAATAAATTAATATTATAACCATTTTAATTCCCTGTATCAACATACATCCCAGAGAATTACAATGAGGTTTGTGGTTGTGAAAAGTTCAAAGGTCGTACAGAGTAACACAAAGAACTTTCCAGGAACAGACCTACTCTGAGAGCGGAGCGGTTTCTAATAGAGAAACGTGAAAGCCACAGTTTACTGGTAAATTCTGCACTTCATTCTGAATGACTTAGCATCGCTAGCAGCATGAGCCAGTAGTAACAGAGACAAAACGGAGCTATTAAGAATAAGACCGAATAACTACCTGCAGTAGTGTTCCGGATTCCTGATTGCTTCTCCTTATTTGACACCGTTTTGCAACTAATCCTGCTCACTGAATCATGACGGCAGATCTGCAGGGATCTTTATGGGCAGCAGGGGAGACGACTACATTCAGTCTATGATGAATTTTTCTGTTTCTTTCCAATCGAGCCGGCACATATAATCCCTTGCTGTGTCATAAGAAGATGAATGGAGTCTTGCTTTTCCCTCAAGACCAAATTAAGACAGTTGCTCCGTCTGTCACCGCGGACTCCTTAAGGTCCTGCGGTGTCACATAACTCTGCAGGCGGTATCAAATCATCTCTTAGCCGCTGTTGTTGTCGGTGAGCCTGCTATAACTAATGAGCTGAGACAAAACAGTCTAATAATTTCTTTCTCCACTCCACAATGGAAAGCTCATTAAAACATACAGAGAAATAGGCCACATGTTCTGATTAGGCATCGGAGCTCCTGCATGCCTCTGTCACTTTGTGTTATACACGTGGGTTCAAGCTGTGTGTTTGTGTGTTTGGCGCGCACTTTGTGTCAGGGTGTATTTGGAGATCAGATGAGTCCCTGTAGGGAGAAGGAACGCAGGATTGTTTCTAAGTGAGAGGTTGTCAGGAAAAGAAAAAAATGGGAAGAGATGAACATTCTCAACCCCAATCTGTCTGTCGTTTTTTTTTATTGGTGCTGTGTCGTTCTGGTCCCGGTTGTTGCCTTCCTGTCCTTCATTTTCCCCCCACCTCGCCTTTCCTGGAAGCCAAACACGTAACGACAAGCACACAAAAACCCACGGATGAGGCACTCTGTTGCAGTCAGTGCTGATTGTTACTCTTTCCTGGCTTTGTTTGCCTTTTTACCTCCAACTCTGACCTTTGGTGGGTTACACAGAGCCTCCTTGGATAAAACACGGCC